TATATATATATATATATATATATATATACACAAAGAAAAACTATATATTTATTTATTGTTTTCTTTCTTTCTTTCTTTTTTTTTTTTACAAAAAGAAAAACTATACGAAAATCCCAGGAACTACTGGAAGCAGCAGTCCGTGTGCTGCACCGGAAGAGTTTAAATGTTGCACAGGGCTGTGTTACATGACCGAGCACGGCTGGTTAGAAAACTGTTGAGGTTGTATGGAGTAAGATGACCGTTGGTCCGAGATGTCTCCAACAGCAGGACGAGTTGTCAGTGGTCTGAGCCGAAGGATCCTCAGCAGCGGACCGTTGATGAAAAACGCGCCAGCCACCGTGGGGTGAGTGGGAATCTGACACCGGGGCTCATCTAGGTTTCAATGACCCTGAGATTAATAATGGCCAGGCTTTGAATGATCATATAAGATAAAAACAATAATAAATTGAGAGTCTGACATTCAAATGTAATATGAATTTGTCTCCTGTTGGTTGTTAGAGTCATACATTATGTTTGATGTCACATTTATATCTAATTACACAAAAGATGTGTTTAGATAGCTGTAAAAAATTAAATCACCAAGTCTGTTCAAATATATAAATATTCCAAGTGCCCAGATGCCTTATATTAAGTTTAAACTTATATCAAGTATTTCTTTTACTGGATTATTTACTCAAATATAGATATGATTTATATTTAACTGATGTAACTCTTTTTCCCCACTCAACCAACCAAACCTTACTCATAGAGGCTTTCTTTCCTCCAACAGTGCGAGGTTCCTAGCGTTGAGTTCTCAGGCAAGATCAAAACCCTCTGAAGAAGATGAAGTGGTCAAAAGCGAGCCCATTAAATTCTCCACCAGTAAAGCCAGTCACAGGACCTGGAAAGTGGACCGCTCCATGGGCAGCCAGTATGAGAGGCCTTGGTGGAAAGTGGTTCCCATCAGCCTCGGCTTGACTGCTTTTCTGCTGTGGTGCGCCCTGAGGGAGGAGACGGACGTTGACGCACAGCTGGAGAAGCGGCTGTATGAACATTTACCCAGTTTGGTTTCAGATGAATCAGAAGATGGAAAGTGACATTTGAAATAAGTGACATGAGTCTCGTTTTTTGAGATATTTATTCAGACCTCATGAAAGTTGTGTAGATTGATCAATACAAGTGTGCCCGTCCTTTGCTCCAAATGAAAGATTTGTCATGCATTTGCCATTAACTTGAATTAAAATTTTGTTTTGGAATGGATGTATTTTAAAACAAATACAGGTTCCTGCTTTTTCAAGCTGAAATGGTTTAGATTCACATTGAATATATGCCACTTCAGGAGTTTTGATGCAAGAACTCAATACCCCTGAACCATAAGCGCATGCGGAACAGTAACCTTTATATGAAAATCATACCACTTTCCAAACGGAATCCTAACCATGGGTGAAATTTGTTTTACAGCTTATAATCCTGTTTTTAAATGACCACAGATACAAGGTCAAATCTGTTTTTTATTTAATCAGTTCTGTTACCAGGGGACACCTCAGAACAAGTCGAGTACGCTGATGTGATTTGTAAAAGGTAATTTGGAATATGTGGCAGCTCTATTCAATGTAGGTTTGGTTTTGCCAGTGTATACGCCAGCCCATGTCAACATTTGACTTGAGCACCTAAACTGGGCCCTCTCCAACTATCAAATATTAAATGCAATAATAAACAATATGAGGTAGCAGAAAGTTTATTTACAAGACAAACCCCATGACATGCACACAGGATTGCAGATAGACTGTTTGCAAAGAAAGGAATGAAACACTGATCATTTTACAGAGAAGCTGTAGTCTATAATGCATGGGACTATTTGAGAGAAAGTGAAATGACACGTACAAAAAAGAACATGCCTCAAACTACAAATAAAAAAACCACACATGCTGGTAATAGTTTGAAATTTACAAAAAACATCCCATTTAAACATCCCTTGACCTAAACCTCTACTATCCCACCCACCCCGTTAAAAAGATCAAAACGCATCATTTATGCACGCTCTCCCCTGATTCGCCTGGCCAACTGGATGTCCTTGGGCATGATTGTGACCCTTTTTGCATGGATGGCACACAGGTTGGTGTCCTCAAACAGTCCAACCAAGTAAGCCTCGCTGGCCTCCTACAGAAAAGGAAAAACAAAGGGGAAGATTCATTGATCTAGCACCACTTTGGATGAAAAACCAAAAAATATAAATGAATATATTAACCAACCTGTAGGGCACCAATAGCTGCACTCTGAAAACGGAGGTCTGTCTTGAAATCCTGGGCAATTTCCCTGACGAGACGCTGGAAAGGCAGCTTCCTGATGAGAAGCTCAGTGGATTTCTGGTACCGACGGATCTCACGCAGAGCAACAGTACCTGGCCTACAAAGAAACATTGACACAATTTTTTTAATTTCAATTTGATTTAGAACACTGTCAGTTTGGGTAAATTTAAAATAGGTTGGATATCAGAGCCTTTTTGCACAACTGACTATTTTGTCCACAAAATAAATAGTGTAAACAAAGCAGCTGTACCTGTATCTGTGGGGCTTCTTCACTCCACCGGTAGATGGCGCACTTTTCCTGGCCGCTTTGGTTGCCAGCTGCTTTCTGGGTGCTTTTCCTCCAGTGGATTTACGAGCAGTCTGCTTGGTACGAGCCATTTTTTACAACTATACACCAAAAGAGGAAGAAACAAACAAAAACAATGTTAGTAATCCAAATCTCGTCAAAATAACTGCACTTAAAAATAGGCTACGTAAACCGCGTGTATGAGCGGCTTACCTAGCCTCATAAAATAGGAAAACATATGCTGCAATATTTTCAAATATTGAAAAGCAGCTCTATAAACAAAAAAACTAACTCTACTACAAAAGACGGCAGTGTGGTTCCTACCAGGCGGGAAAAGTGGCGCCTCCTTTAAAAACCATTAAATCCTGAGTTGAAAATCTTCAGAGTGCCGCCACCATTAAGCTACAGAGGACAGACACGTTTCCTCACCAGACTACGGTTCAATTTAGAAGCTGGCAGCGACGGTTGTAAAATGGCGCCAGCTATCTACCATGGAAGCAGGTAAAATACAAAAAAATAAAATAGTTTCTAAACTTCCCACGTGAGATGAAAAAATATCGAGAAAAACATCAAGTTATTTAAGGCTTGGCGGTAAAATGGACTTTAAAGATATTTATCTAAGAGACGGTTGATTTAAGTGATCGCGCGCGCTTCGGTTTAGTAACAGATTCAACATGCATCAGAAGCCACACGTAAAATTAACCAACACAACGCATTAACGTTTACACTACCGAGAACAAAATGCTAAGCAAATTAAAACAAATTACCGTTGTGCTCTGATTTCCGCTGAAATCGTGCTTCTCTCTGACACGTCGCTTGTCTCTAAATGCAAGTGGAGGGAGAGCGAGACGGTATTTATAGTCTAACCGGGTCTAAGGTCTTAAGACCGCCCCTGTTTGAACATGATTGGTCAAAATTTGCTGACGGAAGCAACGTGACCAGAAAATGAGCCAATGCGGTTCATATTATACGCTCATCAAAAAGAAAAAATATAGGGAGTCTTTGCCCTATAATTCAGGCTTCCAACTAGCTTTGTTGTTTTATTTCTTTTTATTTCTTTCCATTAAAAGGAACGGACTTTCCCTAATAGTCAGTATTTCACAATCGACTCATAAAGTTATGCTTTGATTGATCAACTGTATTGTTGTACAAAAGGAAGATTAATGTCTTTCTAATAAATCCATGTCCTAAGTAGCCCTAGATGACCTTTACATATATTTAGAAACACAGCAAAGGATACAAAAAAACAGGGTTTGCATTCACACAGAATTTAAGCTCCTTCTGATCATAGAGCCTAAGTGAATGTAAACAAAATTTTCTTTACTATAAACTTAGAGCACATGTTCCTCTGATCCTTTGTGGTTGTAAAGAGGAGGGAAATGGATAGAAACCAGCCCGCCACTTTTTCAAACAACCGCCCCCACCCCCAAACTGCTTCTCCCTCATCCGCTGGGAGATTGGTAGATATGTTTTTAAAAGTCTGCAGAATATCAGACATTAGTCCGATTTGTTTATTATCTTCTTTAGTTTTTGATCTGAGCAAAAAGAAAACAAGTGATATTTTACAAATATCTTAATGAATGTTTTTTTCTTAATTGTCCACTTGTATAACAGTACCGTGTGCCATTTTAACCATGAATACAACTAGTTCTACACTGGTGGAACTTTAATTATGCTACGGAAGAGGATTAGGGACACTTGAAAAATAAAAATAAGTTAACTGATTTTTAGATTAGATTTCAGTATAATATGAGAAAAAAACTTTAAGACTTAAAGCTCAGAATTCTGACTTTAATTTCAGAACTCTGACTTTTTTCTCAGAACTCTGACTTTTTCCCCCACATTAAACTGAAATAAAATTAAAAGTCAGTTAACTTTTTTATTTTTTCGGTGGCCCTCTTCATCTTCCCTACTATACAGTCGTATGTTTACATCAATATTTTTTTTCCACCACAGTGTTTTTATCACTGCTGCTGACTGAAAAAACTGAAAAAGTCTATAGAGCTGTACTAAACGAAGCGGAACTTTTTGGTTGGAGTGTTGGTATCTCACGGGCATATTACACAGTGACACCAGCATTGGTTTGTGGCGATGTGACTCTGGTTAATGTAATTTTGGATTACGGGGCTCGTGAAAATGTATTTCTGTGATGATCATTGAAAGTTCTTTGTTTTAAGGACAATAAATGCAGTAAAAAGTTTTTTTTGCTGCAACTCAACGACTGTTGGAGGAGAGCATGAGCGAAGAAAGGCTGCTCTGTATAGGTAAACAATGTGTGCCTGTTCAATAAATTTTTGGCTTCTGCTTTAGATGACTGTACTTATTTAGATAATATTGTTTTTAAAATTTAAAATCTAGTATTTGATTATTTTTTTCCTATACAAGTTAAACATTCAGACTTTTTTTGGCACGGTAGAAAACATCCATGTATTTTATTGGGATTTTATGTGACAGCATAGAAATGTAAAATTAAAGGGAATTTTTTTTACAAAAATTATTGGTGAGATTAGTGCAGTTATAGCTGATCTTGGAGTTTGTTCCCACCATCCACATGATAGCCTTTCTTACAGATACACTTCATTACATGTGATTATTATTATTATTATTATTATTTTTTTACAGATTATCAAGTGAATTTAGTCATTGCCATTTAATCTGTCATTTAACTAGGACGTGAATCTGTTTTGATCTAAACCACCCCTGGCTGTGTGTTGTGTTCCTGCTGTAATATGAACCTAAACCTCAGACTGGAGTCTTCTGCTGCCTTCAACAAAATTTTCTCCATGGATACCATGGATTAAATCCCATGCATGATCCCATCAGCTCTGACCAACCTGAATAAGAAACTTCTCACCATTATGCTGCCACCAGCATGTTTTAGAATGAGAATCGTGCATGGTTATGTACAGTATTTTATGAACCTGTATTTTAATTAATATGTATTCATCAATTCTTTGATTTTGAAAACAGTTTAGATCATGTCTCTTTTCCGTTTGGTCCATCTCCTCTCCTTCATAGATGGATCAGAGCTCTTGGAGATGTTCAATATCAGGGATTTTGTTTTAGAACCTACCGGCAACACTGCTTTAAAATGTGATGTAACTGCTGGGTCCCTGGATCTTTTAGATGTTCCTAGAACCTCTAAAGTCAGAGAACTCCGCTGATATATATATATATATATATATATATATATATATATATATATATATAAAAAGAGGCAAATTGGGGAAAGGTTCAAAGGGAATACTTACTTTTGGAAGGCACTGTGCGCTCAAATGAAGGGTATTAACTTGCCTCTTTTCATCTTTTCATTCAACAGATATTAGAGACTCAAAGATCTCCACAGTTGCTGAAGGGGGAGAGATAAATCCTCTCTGGACTCGCAGTGACAACTCCTTCAAATTTAACTTTTTCACAGGCGGTGCTCCACCACCTCCGGATAAAACCTCTGCAGCAGACCACAGCCAGCCCCCCTCAGCATCACTATCTTTTACAGGGCAGGGGTCTACTTTTGCTTTCAACTTTCAAATCCCACCTGCAGAAGATATGGACACAAAAGAGACTACAAACCCATCATCCCTCAGCAACCCACAGTGTATCCAAGAGGAAGAGCCTTCCCATTTACAAGGGGTAGGATCTGCAGGTGGAGAGCAATGCAAAACGAAGAAAAAGAAGAAGAAATCTGGCAAGAAGAAACCGTCTGATGCTGAAACACAACAGAAACCAACAGAAGGGAGTCAGAGAGAGGAGGAGCTGGTCAGTAAAAAGAGTGCAGGTCACTCAGCAGCATGAATTTCATTGTCAGTTTGAGCTTTTTTTGTTTAATCTGACCTTTAACCCCGTTGATTTTTTTTATCTCTTAGCAAGGAATGTTTAGAAGTATACATACAGGCTCAAAGTTATGCTTTTTAATAAATGCGGCAGAAAATCCACACAATTTTCGGAGCATCAATTGGCTTCTGGTAGAAAAATATTTGTCTCAGAACCGAAGCACAATGCAAAAAAAAAAAAAAAAAAAACCCTCGTCATGCTGCTACCTCCACCATGTTTGACAAAAGCTATGGCCTTTATAAAAGCTTGCGTAATACCATTTAGCATCAGGCTAGCTGCATGAAAACCTGTAACTGCAAAAATGACCAACTTTCTTCATCTCTTACTTTATTAAAAGGTTTATTTCATGTCTTAATGTTTATTTCTCTCAGAGCCCAGAGGAGGAGCTGAACAGGCAGCTGGACTGGTGTATCGAACAGCTGGAGCTAGGAATACGGTCTCAGAAGGGAACTCCAAAACAAAGTTAGTGTTATTTTTTTCTCTACACATTACTTATCCAAGGTCACAGCGCATTAAGTTTTATTCCAAAAATATATTCCTTGGTTCAAGAAAATGATTATTTTACCTCAACTCCCACATAAAATGGCAAAGTCAGGATGCAACAGCGAAGAGGTGTATGTTGAAAACAAGAAACCAGACAGGAAGGCATACAGAAAAGACTGCAGATGGGGTGTTGAAATGACAGCAAAGAGGAATGGGAGGTGATAAAAAACAAAACAAAACAGGAAACATATTGTCACAAATAAAAAGATGGCAAGCAATTGAAATGAGACAAGCTAAAAAAGGTCACTAGAGACACAGAATGACTTCAAAATAACTCAAAACCACCAACTGGTACCAGGAGAATCTACAAACACATGGCAGAAGGACAATGGAAATATGCAGAACTGCAGTTAAGATTCACATAATATATTTAATTAAAATAGGAAAATTAGATTAATAAATTATAAAACATAAAAATGAGCAACAGAGTACCTTTTTTATTCTTCTTTGTTTATCCAACTCAGTCCCCGACTGCTTTCCCTACAGCCTCATGGGGGCGATGATGTGCTAGTTTGTTACCTGCCTACTGAGATGAGAAAAAAGCCAAAATAAAGAATAACTTCCACCAGAATATCGATGCACTTTATTTCCCTAGAGGGATTAATTATTCAAACAAGAATTGCTTTTACCTGCAGACTGATAGGAGATCCTGCTGCTTTAATCATTTTAGTCTTGTCTGCAGCCTTAGCTGAGCACTTTATTTTACTTGATCATAGAGCATTTCATTGCTGTTAAATGGAAAGCTCTTTGGCGGTTTAGGTTTTTTATTTCAGCATAAAAGTTTCTCTGTCCGTTTGGGTTACTTTTTTTCATCTAAGGCTCATCTGATGTTTGGAGTACCCCAAGGTTCCATTTTAGGACCTCTTCTCTTCTCCTTGTACTTGGTTTCTCTGTGGTCCATTTAAAAAGAAGAAATAGAAGATGACGTCTCTAGATTTATTTACACATCTATTTACAGCCCAAAGCTAAAAGAAGTCAATCAGCTTTTGGAGGTTTCTCCTTGCAATTGATGTTTAAAGAGACAGCGTGTTCTGTTTGGTCACTTTCAGTTGTTCTGAGTTTCAAAATGTTTTATTTCCTGTAGAAGAGGAGGCCTCTCGAGCCTTGAAGACACTGCGTAGCTCTAAAGCTCCTTTGGTCAAGAAGCGGCAGTTGATGAGAGCCATGACTGGAGATTACAGAAAGAAAATGGAGGAAGAGAAGAACAAGCAGTTCAAGCTCATTCAAAGTGGTGAGTGAACGGTTTCATTAAACGCTTCCTTGTAGAAGCTTTTTTTTTTTTTTTTTTATCCACATGTTTAACTGGTCTCTTACAGAAACTGCATCAGCTCAGGTTAAAGTAGTGTCGGATGCCCCAAAGAAATCAGTTTTTCACCGTCGCGCTGAGGGGAAATCTGCTCCTGGAGCCTCAGAGGATCAGCAGCAGCAGACGGATCCCCAGGGGGCCGAGAAGCCGAAGCTGCAAACTCAGGAGGAGAAGGCAGCCTTCGTCTTTGTTCCATCGAAAGAGGAGTTCCAATTCAATTTCTTCTGATGTTTCTGTGCGGAAAGTCTACGATTTTTCCATAAAATCTAACTGAAAAAAATAAGTGCCACTTCCTCTGGATGTGTACCTGTTTGGATGAAGCATCTGGAAATGACCTAAATCCACAACACTTCCGTTGCTATTTTTAAAGTACCTCTAAATAAACAAAAAACACACCTGAAATATTTGCTCATTTCTAACCAGATCAGTATCAGAGTTGCCTTGGCCAACATCAATGAATTAAACTTGATGACTGGATATTTTTTTTTATAAAACTTTTTACTCAACACGGATAGTAAATATTTGTGTTAACCAGATAAGATTTGCAAAACCTCTTCACATGTTATTTCTCTGGAGTGTATTATTTTTACAGAAAGTTTTAATTTACTATAATTGCAAAATACAGTAAAGATGCGAAGCTGTATCATAGATTGCCTCTCTTGTTTTTTTTGACCCATACTTTAATATTTTAGATGTTTTATGATAAAATTAAATCTGATTAAATACCAAAAAATGATTTCCCTGGTTATGGGAAGAAAGGCTACCCTAAAAAACCTTTGGAAAGAAGTAGTAATTTCTTTTCCAACTACACCCCGACCGGATGACTGCCTAATACGAAGAAGCCAGACATCACTCGAATAGAACCTTTTTGGCAGCATGAGGTAGGCAACTGCCATACCTAAAGTGACTGATGAATTATTTAATTGTTCAGTAGGAATTTCCTCATTAAAAAAAAGAAACTAAAAATATGTTCACTTAAAGCTGCAGACTAGTTTTCAGATGTATATTAAACTTCCAGTAGAACTTTCCCTGAAGTTTTTTATAAATGCAGCAGCTGGAAGCATAAGGGGCCAATAATGAATAAAATCAAAAGAATAAGAGGCCTTAAACAGCCTGTTTCTAGAAATTAGCTGCCCTTCCATATTTGGTGAAGCTCTAATATTGAGAGAATATATATATA